CATCTGGACAACATAAATGGATTCTCTGTGCTCTTACTATGGCCAAAAGACTGATATTGCAGCATTGGAAAGATAAATGTACGGCCCCATTTATTCAATGGATTGAAGACCTGACTCTGCTTGCCACTTATGAGCGGATTGCCTATAGATGTAGACTTTGTATGGATAGGTATAATGAAATATGGGGTTCATTTATACAAAATACAGTCGGTTAAAAAAACATGATAGTCATATAAATCTATTAGAAATATATGTACTTGAATAATATTTGTATTAGATAAGTATACATAGAATTTAAATTGTTTATTGTTATAATGATATATTAACATTTTCTCTCTGTTGTATTTTTTTCACTTTTTTGTTAAACCACTTTTATGTATTTTTTATTCTTTTTGTAATCAATTAAAAATAAATAAATAAATAGAGTGACTTCACTGATCTAAATAAGTAACTCCCATTGACTTTAGTGAGCCTAAGTATATCTTTCTTAATATAAGTCATTCTGGATGCACCTAATCTGAAATAACCTTGAGGACTATTCGCAATGATAATTAACAACTTTCAAATGTAACACTACATTATGTATTTTGTTTGCCAGAGTTTCATTAATCAAAAAAAAAGGAAAGAAAGTGAAGATGATGCATCTAAATCATTTATGCAAAAGCACGAGCAGAAAATTAGACATTTTGGTAAGTTTTTTTTCTTAAGAATCTTCTTTTCATGACCTGCATATGCAGTAATAATATATTTCTATTTTAACAAGTGAAATATTTTGCCTAAAATCCAGTTAGGCTTCTTGAGATGCATTTTATATGACAGCAATGTTGCCCTTGAGTAACTGAACTAAACAAAGTAATAACCTCTCATTACTATGGAACAGGTTGCAATAGCAAAATGTCTAATTTGTTCCTGCCCAGCATAGATGGGACTCAGTTGTAACCAGGGCTGTGGAGTCAGAGTTGTGGAATTGGAGTTGGAGTCGGAAGCAATGCTTGGGTTACTGGAGTTGGAGTTGGAAAAAATGTACCGACTCCAACTCCAAATAAATTTAAATTGTATATAATATAAAT